GAAATTAGATCAAAATAATGTCAGGAAAAAAAAAAAAAGAAAAAAATCCATCTTCTAAATTAAATGTTTTAGTAGTCGTGTAGGCCCAGAGCCAAAGTTGGGCTGTTCATTTCTCCGTGTGCTTGATGGGCCATCTTTGTAATGGGCTGGTTCTCGCAAAGATAGGCCCATTTGTGATTAATTGAGTAACGGACCTTTTAAAATAAGATAAAAATGAAAATAATATTGTATTGAATAATTTTTTAAAATAAGTTTGCTTGGCTACATGGAACTTTTTAATTTATTCAATCAAATCACTAATTTAATTTAATCTTATTACTATTTCTGCCGGCCAAAAACACATGTAATTAAATTAATAAAAAAATTACATATTTCAATTATTATTAGTCGCCAGGCTGTATAAAAAGAACCCAACTTTATGGTTAATGTAATAAAATATTAATGGGTTGAAAAGAAAAATAGAAATAAACCAAACAATGTAATTACTATGCGGGGACTATCCAATGCATCTCATTGGATGAATGCCTTTAACTTGCAAAATCTACGAAATTTATGGGGAAAAAAATAAAAAAGATTGAGGGCCCAAAAAAAAAGCTTTGAATAATATTAAACATATTACTTTTGGTTGGATTGCAATCAAAATTGGGGTCATACCCTTTACCTTTTTTCAATTTTTTTAAATTATAAAAACCACATGATCCAAATACATCACTCGTATAATTATTAGATTATTATAAAACTTGTATTTATTATAAAATTATAAATTGTGTTATACGAAACATCAAATATTAGATTGATTTTCTCAATTTTAATAAAAAAAAAATCAATATTACAAATTAGATTTCGTTTTATTGGTGTATTTCTATTTGGGTAGAGAAAGCTGGTTATAAAAATTGGTTAATGATAATTTGTTTCTTATGTCAATAATCTTTTCATTATCGAATGAAACGATAAAGTGATTACCCACTAATTTGTTAAATGAATAAGAAACGAAATAAAAAAGTTATTAAAAGAGACAACAGCATGCTCTAGAAAGTGGTGGACGTCACAGGAGAATTAGATTTGATTATGGTAATATTTGTCCCATAACTCATAAAAATGGGCTTAACATCCTTTTAACAAATATATATATATATATATATATATATATATATATATTATAACATGATTTAGAATGACAATCGTAACCCTCAAGATTAAAAGCATATAAAAAGAATGGTAGTTGGGCCCATGCATCTCAAGCTTTCAAACGAAATCATATACCGGTTTGCTAAAATAGAAAAATGATTATTTCTATAAATACTATATATAACAAGAGAAAATAAAATAAAAAGATTAAGCATAGCTATTACTAATAAAGCTAGTCGCCGATCTTCTTTTACACAATATTAGTTGCTATAAATATAGCGTAAAACCCCACCAACATATATATATATATATATATAGATAAGGTATATATATATATTATTTTCTCTGGCAGCTTTTTTCTTAGTTTACAAGGGTCTGGTTGTTTTAGCAATTAACGAGGTTGTTGTTGTTGTTGTTATTAAGGATGTATTGCGATTGGGAGATATTTGGCGGTTGTTCAAAGGAGCTGTAGGGGGAAGCATAAGCCAATTGTCGATGGAATTGCCGGAAGATTAATACTTGTCGGCTATACAAAAGTTTCTGCCGCAGAATTGTGTGTTCGGTCTGGAGATGGTCGTTTTCCGTCCGTACACGGTTCAACTGACTAACCGTGAACCGCAACTGCTTCGATAGCTCCCGGTTTTCAACTATCAGCTTGTTCACCAAGTTCCTTAAGTTTTCTAAGTGCTTCTGTTTACGAGCCCGGGACCGCCTCGCTGACTCCCGGTTCGACTCCATCCGCCGCCGTTTTCTTTCGTCTATCACCTCAACCTTCCGGTCCGGTTCACGCGCGTCAGGATCCATGGCTTCCGGTTCCACCCGGTTTTCGGAACTGGAACTCGAAATCACCGGTTTTGGGGACTGAAGCACGTCCGATAATCCGGCTGGTTCCGGGAACTGGAACGCAACCGGCAAGAACTCGCGGTCGTGATCTTGGCATTCCCACGGCGTCGAGGTGCCGTCGATAGCCGGAAATGGGTTTTCGAGCATGGACTCGTACGGCGAACCAGTCGGAAAAGTAGTCAGCATGACGGCAGGACAAAGAATTTTCTCAACAAGATAAAGGAGGAGAGAGGGAGGAGGAAAGGGAAGAATTGCAGCGTAGGGGCCTTGTATTTATCGCTGGACTCTCGAGGATAGTTCCGTAATTAAGGTTACCATTGAGGGTAATCTCGTCATTACGGAATAAGATATCGAAGTGGCATGGTAGTGGAAGTGTGTAAGCTCGCTTTTCTCTTGGCGGGACAGATGGGTGATATAAGCCAGTGGGGCCGTGGCATTGGTGCATGGCTGATATTAGCTTCGTAGTGAAGAAACAAAGTTTGTGGGTTCCACCAATTACACGTGTCGACTATTAATTCGAAGACAACGTCACAGCCAATTATTAAATAAATCTAATTCTACACTAAACGTCTCGTATGAATAAAAATAAATAAAAGAAAATTAAAAAAAAAAAAAAATGATAGAACCAGAAACCACAAGGCTCAGTCGTACTCGTGACTTCGGCTACGACGGCTCCGGATTCGTCCACTTCAATTGGTGTCCACCCAATTAAGCCGTAGATGCAAAAAGCTGCAAACTCAAAGGCCAAAGTTGTCATTTCACATATTAATTATTAGTTGATTATGGAATAAATTTAGCATAAAGTTAGAGTTTATTGTTACATTTAATTACTAACCTATTATTAATATTATGGCCGGCTGTGTGACATAAAGAAGATTCTGGGAGTTGTACTTCCAAATTATAATAAATATATGAACGCAGAAATTCTAAATTAAAACTCTAATTTTTAAAAAGCTGATTGACTAAAACTGGCAGTTAACTTGTTAATACTCCATGAACACAACAACTTTTCGAAGCTTTTATTATGTTTTTTTTTTTCAAAGAAATATAAATATTTAGGGTTTAGGGTTTCTTTTCTTCAGCCTATTTTAAAAATTTACAAACCAGCAGCAGTTGGAGTACAACAACCTTAAAATATTCGTTGTGTTACTTGGAAATTTTATAAAAGCAGTGGTCGGGAGAACAAAGCATAAACTTGGCAATCATCTCAAGAAATTCGCAAAGGCCACCCAAAGTAGGCCTCATGTGGAACGACACATCCCTTACCCACAAAGATGTTTTTTTAACTTAATTTAGTTAAATGCAACTTTTAAGAGTAGCTAAAGCATCCCTCCTTTAGTTTATGTTTGGTGTAATATAACACAAACCTTAATCAACTCTAATATCACACCATGTTTTTCTATAAATATCATTACGTATCTTGCTTGTATCTTGTTATCTAATTAAAAAGTTAAAGCTAAATAACTAATCATCTTTTCTAATCAACCCATCGTTATATTAACACATTAATACATCAATTTTTCACTGTTCCTTTTGTACCCTTGTTCTTGCTTTTCACATGCTCCTTTAACTTTTTTTTCTCCTCCAATTCCACCCACGAAGGGCTTAGATTTTGTTGGATTTTACTTTTTCTTTTCTTTTTACCCTTTCAACATTAATTAGTGGACACAATAGTATTGGTAACATGACACTTTATTCAATATCAAAACCATGCTTTATAGCCAAGGTTAGATGAGCGGATGACCTTATTATTATTGTACCTTCCACAGATGTACAAATTGTTTACTTGAACCACTAATTAGGGTTTTGATATTATGTATACAAAGAAAATATTTGATATTAAAATATAAAGTAGGGTTTATTAAGAAACCGCGTTTGGAAAATATGAACAGAGTGGCATTAAAGTATGAATTACTCCTTTATTAATCCAAACTTTGGATCTGTCATTCACATATATTAATGCTAGATAATTATTTCAAAAATATTTGTAGTGGGGGTATTTTTGTCTATCATTTTGTTTTATTCTTTTTTGAAAAAAAAAAAATAAATACTTTTTTGGGTTATTTTTACAAGAGGAATGTCATGTAGTTATTTTTGAAAACCAATATTTAAATTTAGTATTTGTCTTGTAGTCTCTAACTTGTATGCTATGTTGTTAAAGCCCATCGTAAAACCCAATAGATTTTGGATTTTGGATTTGACTATGTGATCCAAACACAAAACAGGCTATTTTATTTTTCTCTCATGGACCCCTCAATCTGCTAAGAAAATCTCCCACAGAACGTGGAAAAAAAACATCATTAATCATTCACACACCTTTAATTGTGTTTGTGTTCGTGTTTGTGTTTGTGTTTGTTCTGAGATTTGTTTTGGAAAAAGAGAGATGAATGTTCTTGTTTGATTGGTCAAAGAAGGAAATTTGGTTGTTTTACGTGTGTGAACATTCGTTTGTGGAATGTTACAAATTCCATCACAGTGCCGTCGCTCCTTTGTTTTCAATGCTTAATTTCTCATGTCATCATGATCTAAACCACACCTCATCAGGTAACGGATCGACATACCTTAAAATATGCGCATGTTGGTATATACAACGTTTAGATTAAACTTATAACCTATAATTAATTACTATAGGAATATGTAACGACCTTATTTTTTATTATAATAAAGTGACCATGCTACATATGACTTAATTAAGAAATGCAAGTCTTTTAAAACATTTGGAAATAATATCATAATTGATGTATATGTTCATAATAAAATTGTTAAAATAATTGTAGCAACGCCTCACCATGTAACATTTCATGATCTTGATCTTAGCTTCCCATGTAATTGCGCTGGTCTATCGTAAATTTATTCCTTTTATTTACGATATTCCTTTTATATTTTTGGTCGACGATCTTGTGCTGCTTATACAAAGTCCAAGCCGCACCTTCTCAGGTTCACACACGCATGTCCGATTCTTGTTTGATTTCTTATATATACCATTTCTTTCATTACTTTCTCTTTATCCTTTAATTTCCAACCCTTTCCTTATCTTCACTCACTTTCAAATCCACGAATGTCTTCTAAATTCTTCAATTTCCGCTGCCTTATTTTTCTCCTCCTCCTCCTCCACCTCCTCTGCAACAGGCCACCACCAGCTCATGCTGCCCGCCCTGCTCCCGTCTTTGCATCACTGCCCACTCAGGTCTGTTATCGTAATCTATCATCTTTTTCTCTAACTAAGTTGTATTCATTTGTACATCTTGTTGATATTGAGATGGTTCTTTAATTGGGTTTTGTAGGGGTTGGATGAGAACCTAACTGATAGCGAGAATATGGATGAGAAGTGCAGTGGAGTAAGCGAAGAAGAGTGTTTGATGAGACGAACTCTAGTTGCTCACTTAGATTACGTCTATACGCAAAAGCATACCCCATAATTTCAACACCTTTTCATTCTAATTTCTTCCTTTTATGTATCTACAAACTTCCATTCATGCCACTTATATATCTATTGAATTAGCTTCACTGGGTCTCAATGAAAGAAAAAAACAAAAAAAAACAGAGCATTTGAAGATGATCCAAGACAGGACAAATTAATGAAATTGATTATGATTCTGAACATGAGCATCTGACTTTTCTGCATACTTCACAACAAATTGAATCGATGGGGTATTACAAATAAAAATAAACCACATGTTGTTAAAGTTGGATATGGAAGCTTGATAGATATTTAGCTCCATCGGTTGATATTTGGAAGCAACATGCCAGATTTAGCCCTCTTGTAACCAATTAATAGCGTTTGACACCAACAACAGAAGGCCCCTCGACGACATAAAGTAAATAGTCCCTTGGGGACGCGCTTCAACTTTATGCTTTACATATCCAAATTCAAAGTGTATATGTGGATCAAAGTGGCCGCTCGGTGGTGCCTCCCACGCGCAGCTATGAAACATGGGCGTAGAAGGAAAGGCAACTCGGGGGCCTATTTTGACCACTATTTAACTGCTATCCGTTACGCTTTGTGACTGCCCAAAGCGGTTAATAGTATTCCAATTCATAAGACTTCATTGTACCTTTTTCTTAGACATTTACTTTCAAATATAGAGATATATTCAAAATCATTTGATTGAGACGTCATATAGTTTAATTTTCGTGGCGTTAAAGTATTAGGCAATTGAAAGTTTTCAATATCCTTATCAACATTTAAAAGCATACAACATTGATTCATAGTATGTTTTAAATGATAAATCTCCGTTTTTTCATTAATTTATTCTTGATGAGTAACGACCCAAACTTTTATATATATATATATATATATATTTTAATAATTTATCATTTTAACGACTTCAATGATATTAAAATTTTAGATTAAAAATTTCAAAATAGTACAAGTCAAAATTCCAAAATGATAGGTTGACTTTTCGGCTAGAAAAATTAATGCGACTATGTTCATTATTTTGGATCTTCTTCCCTCTGTGATATAACTTAACAATGGATGCTTGGACGCAAGTCTTTCATAATAGAACAAAATAAACATTAAATAAAGACAGACTACATTGGGAAAGATGGTTACATTGACGACATTTAATTTTGCTGATTGGGAATTGGTTATTACATGGTTTCTTGAAATCATCGTTACATTGACCTACTAATTTAATTCATGTCGGTTCGTACACAAAGTACGTTGGGAAAGATCGTTTTGAAGCACTAAATCAGAATTTAATACAATCTTTGTCGGCTCTCATCATGGTCAATTTGGGCCTAATGTCTACTTTGGGAATAGTTGTATTGGAATTTGTAACTCCCAATCTTTGAAACCAGTTTTATTATTTTAATTTATAACATTTCCACGCTGTTTTTTAAAACATTTGATCAATAATAGAGCGGAAGACTCGAGTATACATCGTATATGTTAGTGCGAACACAAGTTTTAGTTATACTCAATTATGAACTTGGGTTATGAATTCTAGTATAGTGTGATTGTGACACTAAATATGTGGGTAATTTACAGTAATAAGAAGAACAAAAACAAAATTAAAGGTAAATGTGAAAAAGGATTGAAAACATATATAAACTTCAATTTGGGAACTTGAGGGTTAAAAATACAGTTAAATCCAATCCGACAATTGAAGTTGCATAATTGAACAGTATGTACAGATAATTCGAGAAATGAAAAAACATCCCCAGAGATAAAACATTTTCCTGGAATTTCAGGCAAAAAAAGAGGAAAAAGAAAACTAATATGCGAGCAAGAACCAGGAGGTGTTGTCAAGAACGTTGAAGCACAGGGAAAGACAAATGGTGGCAATTACAGAGGTTTTGGCGGCTACGTACCTCACCATCTCCAGACCTCTCTCCATCACTTCTTCATTCACTATGTCCACACATCGCTTCATTCCTTCGTAGATTTTCTCCAACAACACCTCGAAGAACGACCTCACCATTTCAAACGTCATTCTCCCAGTCAAGTTCACTATCACTTTCCTGTTCTTCGCCACTCCCAAGCTGGATGCCCACCCTCCATTTCTGGGCCGTTTCCCAAGCTGGCTTCTGGGCTTCACGCCCAATTCCATGTCCTCGAACTCTTCCACCTTTTTCCCTGCTGCAGCTGCTGCTGCTGCTGGGCCTGCTTCCATGGCCCAGTTCCCCTGCCCCGACAGCACTTGGTGGGAGGTTCTGATCAGAGTCTTCACTGCGCCGTTGGAAAGGGAGACCAGCAACTCCCTCATTTCCCTTTCGTGTTTCGGGTTTGTGAGTCCCGAGAATATTCTATCGAAACTGTTGATTTCCATTGTCTTCTCCAGATACACCGACACCGCCGAGCTCACGAATATTCGAATCAACTCGCCGATTAATTCCCTGCATTTCTCATCGCAAGCCACCCCCATCCATCTCCCCAAACGATCCTCCAAACTATTCGTCCATTTACTCGTCTCATCTATAGAGAATAACCCCATCACCAAATTCCGAGCGAAACTCCCAACCACCACAGAAACGAATCCAGACCCAGATTCACTACACAGCTTCGTCATAATTTTGTCAGTAAAATCACTCGTTTTCTCGTCACCGCCGCCTTTCTGCCGGGAGTACTGATCGTAACCTCGCAAAACCCCCAAAGTTAGCGCCTGAGAGAGACGCGTGAGGGAAGTGGAGATCTCATCAGATCGGGCGAGTTTAGAGATTTGCTTCAAACTATGTGGGAGTTCATCAGAATCAGAATTAATAAACTCCTTAAAATCCTTAGAAATAGTGGCGACACAGTGGGCAGAATCAGCAAATGCAGCCGCGGCAGAAGACAAAGCCGCAAAGAATCTGGAAATCTTAGCCCTCTTTCGAGCAATTGAAGGGAAATGATAGACTCTGTAAGCAGTGTAGCCGGTAAATCCAAGAGCCGCCATTACAACAATCCAATTACTCCTACGAACAGCTTTCAAATTCTCATCCATATCCCTCGTCGTATATCACGGGGGAACCCCAAAAAAAACAGAATCCAGAATTCAATCCATTAGAGTGACAGGTTGTGTCAGGAAGCGAAGAAGGGAGTCGATGAAGAAACAGAGCAGAATTGGGAGAAGCCAAAGAAGGCGTTAAGCTTAAGATTAAGAAGAAAAGAAAACATATCCAGAAGAAGTGTAGAGGTGGACATGTGACGTGACAAGTTGACCTGGTAATGGATAATATCAGCACAGAGCAAGAAAAGAAAAATGGAGGACAGAGAAGGCAGTTACATTTAGAGAGATGAGCGAAGTGGGTGAGCACCGCCCTTCCCTATGAGGAAAAAAAGAGGGATTCCTTCGTTATGGATATTAATTATGGCAGTATGGTGCCACGTGGAAGTATGGGCTTGGGTGGCGATGGGCCAAGCCTAGTGGGCCTCAGATCGCGACTTATCTTCTTCTACTACGACTATTTACTCGACCCTTCTCTTCTGACATTTCGTTTTTATGACACCTACTTCTTTTCATTTTATTCAAATTAAATAATACCGCCATTATTATACCTATTATTATTTATTTTATCTTTACCACCGATTTCTTTTTTATTTTATTTTATTATTTTTACTTTTCATGGTGAAAGGAAGAAGATTCACTGTTCCTTACAAAAATGTCCAAATCGGAAGGATTGGGCCTGAAGCCCACTCAAGGCCCATAATGTCCACTTCAGGAAGTGTTTTTAAAGTCTAAAAAAATATATTTTTATTATTCCACGAGTACCTTCAATTTCTTTAAAATAATTTTAAAAATTCTTAGTGAGAATACATGAACGGAAATTATGTACCAACACCTCCTCATAATTTGTCTATGTTTTAATGTTATTTCTAAAACAAATTTGTCTATGTTTTAATGTTATTTCTAAATTTGTTTGGGTATTTTAAGAATATTAATGAAAGTATTAATGATTTTTGTAATTGGAATAATTAGGTTTGTTTTTGGTTTGAAATGGGAAGGTATTTTAAAATATTGTTTAGATGGATGTTGGAGTTTGACCTCCAAATTTCCAATCTTGTAGAGGCGGCGAAGCGTAGAGACAGACACAGATCGGTAAGAACGATGAGCAGATCCGATAAAACCACGCCAGCGCCAGCACCAGCTTTCCAATTATTTGGATTTGGATTTGGATTTGGATTTGGATTTGGATTCGGATTCATCCAAATTCAAAACCCCGAATGACGTGCTTTACTTTCCAGCCGTCGGATAGCTTAGCCTGGAAGCCAACTCCGGATTCAAAGAACAGATAAAACAAGATTCAAGATGGATCCCCACTTGCAATGCACAAAACAACTCACACCCTCTTTCTCTCTTTCTTCACCTTTTTTCATTTTCGTTTTTCTTTTCCGTGATGAACAGGTGGTGGTGACGTTTTTCGTATGGGCAGCCGCCGCAATTGGACACCATGGAAACCACCTACTTCCGCCACGCGTTAGCCGACGTGGCAACCCGCCGTTTAAAGTACTTCTTCACGTTTTCAATCTTCTTTCTCACCTTATCAAACTCAAAACCAAAACCATAAACCATGACGTGTCGCGCAATGCATCTATCTTTTATACACACACACATATAGATATATATATATATATATATATATAGAGAGAGAGAGAGAGAGAGAGAGAGAGAGAGAGACAAAATGAAGAGAGAGTTCATTTTAATTATACAAAACAGAGAGTGGGTTAATTCTGTTTTCTAATCATAGCAGTCAACAATCCCATCTTCTTCTTCTTCTTCTTCTTCCTCTGTTTCTTCTTCCTTGTTCTGTTTATTCGGTTTTCATTGAAAAAGAAAGAAAAGATATATGATGGAAACTGTGTATCAACCTTACTGCGTGGATCCCCAGTTGGAATTACTGATTGAAAGAATTTACCCTCCCAGGTTTGTTTCTAAACAACAATATATCCATCAAGTTTTCAGCTTTATTCATTCTTTTTGGTTTAATTCCTCTTGGGATTGGGGTTTTTTTTCCATTTTCCAGAGTTTGTATAGACAATGACACCTTTCCGGATTGCACCCTTCTCAAGGTTCCGTCCCTATCTTTAAACTTTATGCTTTCAATTTCATGATTTTTTTTGTTGATGAGAGTATTGATTTTTATTTGACAGGTTGACAGTGCAAACAAACATGGAATTCTACTTGAGATGGTGCAGGTTTTGACGGATCTCGACCTTGTTATTTCCAAGTCTTACATTTCTTCCGACGGTGGATGGTTCATGGACGGTCCGTTCCCACCCACATCATACTTGTTTAACTTTTAATTGGGTGTTTAAATTATGTTTAAGCAAATCATGTTCAAGATGAATGGAATCTGATTTGTTGGATAAGAACTTCTCTTATACTATTGTTAATGTCTTCGAGGAAGGAAACTCGAAATTTCCAAATTGTGATACCTTTTTGTACAGAGTTCAGTGGTTATAATGGAAGCTGATTTGTAATGGTTGTTTATGTGCATACGTATGGTGCTGCAGTTTTCCACGTGACAGATCAGTTTGGAAATAAACTCACCGATGAAGGTCTCATCCATTACATTCAGCAGGTCTCTGTTTTGTACATACGTATGGTGCTTCTTTAACCTCATGAACTTTCCTCTAATGTGTACTCAAATTACTACGCAATTACAGGCATTGTGCGCGAGTAGGAGAGAAGGGTCGTCGAGAACGGCAAGAATGTGCAATATGGGGAAGAAGGGGTTGTCATCAGAGCACACGGCGGCGGAAATCACCGGAACTGATAGGCCAGGTCTGTTGTCGGAGATATTCGCGGTGTTGGTTGAGTTGGGGTGCAACGTCACCGCTGCTGTGGCATGGACCCACCACAAAAGTGCAGCCTCCATTATCTATATGGAAGAAGGTTTGAATGGTGGATCCATAAAGGATCCAATGCGGCTGGCCCATGTGCAGGAGCAACTTGAGAACGTGGTTGACGCCCATAATGGAGAGGGAGAAACAAGCAACGTGAGGCTGACTTCTCCATCGGCCGGACGGACCCACACCGAGCGGCGGCTCCATCAGCTGATGTATGCCAACGGCGATTATAAGCTGTGTTGTTGTCGCGATGATAGTGAAATATGTAAAAAGGGTTGCACTCGAACGCATGTAAGGATAGAGAGCTGCAAGGAGAAGGGATATTCGATTATCAATATCAAGAGTAGAGACCGTCCGAAGCTGTTGTTTGATACGATTTGTGCTCTTACCGAATTGCAGTACGTGGTGTTTCATGCTGCAGTGAGTTCGAATGGGACTATAGCTGATCAGGTACCCATTTGTTTTTTGCAAATTCATGTGCCATTTCCTGTCCAAGTTGGCTTTTGTTTTGGTCCAAAATTTGTCAAGTTGTGTGTCTAGTGGCGCTGACGCAGCCTTGTCTTTTGTGTTTAAAATGGCAGGAGTATTTTATTCGACATAAAGGTGGCTGCATCTTAGATTCCGAGAGTGAAAAGAGTAGGGTTTTACAGGGCCTTGTTGCAGCCATAGAGAGAAGGGTTTCACATGTATGTATCATCATCTTAAAGTTAGCTCCTTTAACCTTTCCATTTATCATTAACAAAATGGGACTTCTACTTTACAGGGATTGAGGCTGGAACTCTGCGCTTTAAACCGAGTGGGATTATTATCAGACATCACGCGGGTATTCCGTGAGAACGGCTTGTCGATATCAGCCATCGATGTTGGAACTAATGGCGAGAGAGCTGTTGGGTCCATTTATGTCACAGATGCGTCGAGACATGATGTGGACGTGGATCCACAGATGTTGGAGTTGGTGCTCAAGGAGATTGGAGGATCAGTTGCCATAGTTCAAGGGCCTTCAAATCGGGATGATCAAACCTCCTCTTCAAGAGTAGATCAGGGGACCAAAGTTACCAGAGTTGAAGATAAGCCAAAATTTTCATTAGGCAACTTGTTGTGGTCTCAACTTGAACGCCTTTCGAGTAACTTTGGCTCTATTAAATCATAGGGGGAGGGGATCTTAATGTTGGATGTATGTCTTGTAAATCATAAGGGAGGGGGTCCTAGTGGCAATAAAGAAAGATTAGTTGTGAATAATCTGTTTCAGTAGATAGCATACGGTCCTTATTTCAATGATATTTGCAAAATGGAAAATAATCGACGTATACATATCACTATAGTACAACAAAGGTCCTACAAATGAGTTCCACAAATTAAAAACAAAAAATGATTGAAATTACGACAAAGCCATCCATTATTTGCATGTAAATGAATTTGAGTTTACAAGTTTTTTCTATATACAGTGATCTTATAACAAAGTTTCCAAATGCATGGTTCATATCGAGAAAACACATGATATACATTGTTGAAGGGATAAAATTCTATGAAAATAAGCAGATTGAAGAGTTTTACGGAGTTGTCACATCGAATCAATGTCATCGACATTAAGCCAGTCACTTGATTCCTTGCGGGTGACTACCTGCCCCGATCCGACATGCTTAGTCTCTATGGTGTTGGTGTCCTTGTCTGAATCAGAAGTCCGGCTAAGCTGAACCCAATCTCGGGAATCTTTAGTTGAAGAGTCGGAGCCTGATGTACCCTTCTTATGATATGCCGTCACCTCCTGGTCATCGTCCTCAAGATCACTAAATGATACATCCTCGTCATTCCCAGCAGGAATGTTAGTTCCACCATCACCATCAATCTCAAGAGTTTCCTCTTTCAACCAATCATCTCCATCATCCACGTATATCTCATCAAAAACTTGGGAAGCACCAGAGTGGGAATGTTCAACACCGGTTTGCAAGGGTATTTCCTCAATGACAGGCTTATCTACAACTTGAATTTCCACGTTCTTAATTGGATGCTTATCGGTCTCTACAACAGTAACCATAGAGGAAGGAGCTGCACTGTCATGGGATTTCAGTGATTCAGATTGATCTCTAGGTGGAACAGAGCGAAGCTCCTCATTGGATGAATCAGAAGATTCTTTTGAGCTAGTAGAGATATTTCTAGATATCTGGGGCTCCATCTGGCCCTTGGATCGTTGTTGTAATTCATGAAGTTGTGCTCTGGCTTCTAGTATCTATAGATATGGTCAAACAAGTTTCAGAAAATTAGTTATGCAGGGTAGGGAACCGCAACTTAGATTATTCCAGAAAGCTCTGATGGATATTTGGAAAATATTACTTGAAGGAGACCCAAACCAACAATTGACAGACTGATGCTTCCAAATAAGGAAATAAAACTACAAATAAAGCAAACATTTCAGCAGCATGGCCATTAGTTTCGTCTTTCAACTGAGAAAAATCAGCCAAATTAGGAGGCAGTCTCTTGGATGACGAGATAAACACAAACACAAGCTTCAAGTGATAGATAAAGCATTGAATAGATCCATTAAGAGTCTGCATCATATTGGTTAGTCCTCTCTGGATGGAGGGCAAACTTATGTTCCAAGGTGGTGGCGGGTTCCTTCTCCCTAACCTCTCTGTCAGATTCCCTCTATGATGACCCTAGTTGCCAGGTTATTAAGCATACATGGCCCAGCCACATATCACCTCAGGAGTAATTTTTGTTTGCGTTAAGGATTTTGTTGCATGTTTAGAAAACTATTTGGAAAAGGAAACAATCATGAAATTACAGGAAAGAGGAATCATCCACATGCTCCGTTACCTTATAGCTGATTGTCATGCATCAGAACATGTTCTCTCAATCCAAGCTACAGAAGTTTTTTTCTTTTTATCAAATGAAATTTAGGTCGTTATGTTGAGTTTTTGTTTATGTATTTGTTAATTCATCGATGTAAATTGTCAACTCTTTTAGACTTGATGAAACTTGGTAGAGCTACAATTCATTTTCTCAATTAAATTTGACCATAAGTTATCCCATACACATTTCCAACATGTTCTCAATTAACTGTGACCGTGACTTATCCCAGTAAATCAAGCATATAGAGCATGTCTTGTCAAACACATTTAAAAAGGACACTCACCCCAAATTAGAGTAATGATGCTTCCTCGAAGTCCCTGTCCAACAACCCTATCTGAATTTGTAGGTCCATCTCCCACCCACTTAATTTACACAGAAAAACGGTAGGTCGGAGAGATTCTTGGTTTGCATTTCATCTCATACATGCAGGTGACTAGTACTTTAGGGTTATTGTGCATTCACTAACAGAAATTTCCGTTTTACCATTATACTCCAGAACTCAAACTTTCCATATCATCCCTGTCTACCATATTAAACTAGAAATCATCCCCCAACTACATGTTCAGAAAATAATGAGCATTACTCGTTACTTCATTGGGCCTTGGCAAGGATCAATATCTCCTTTTGGGGATCTATAACCAAAGATGTCAAAAGAATACTTTAAGGGAATCAAAGTTTACTAATCCAGAAGAACATTAAATAAAAGAGAGAAGAAAAATGTCCCATGCCATTCAAGAGGTTTGAGTCTCTACCAAAAGGTAACAGTCTTTTTCCTCTACCTCACCTACTACAAACTATAAAGTAATAACCGAATTACCTAGAGGGCCATACAGATCTCATGCACAAAATATTCCCTCCCCTCCCCATCACGTAACTATCTATAACCCTTTTCCATAGGGTTTATAGTTAGGTTAAGGTGGTGGTTATCTTCTGACTCTTATTGTCTTAGGCATTCCCCTTTTTGTTTCTCCTCATTTCTTTTTTCCTCAATGAAAGCTAGTAGTGCATAGAGACACACATACAATTGACAAATTTCTTATACCAAAGCTAAAAAAAAAAATTGTTTTTCTACATAACGAACATCCAAAATTTTAATCCCTTAAAATAGAATATGAAATAAGTACATCTACTCAGCTAATTAAGTGGCATACGCAGGAATAGTGCAAGGCCCAACGCAACTTTAAAGTAACGTATTTAATAAGAAAGCGACCAACTTACTTGGGGTGTTGACAGAATTTCAGCATCATGCTTGCTAAGTCTAGGATGCAAGAGCACAAAGTAGATCTTCCAAAAGCAATCTTCACTCATGTAGTGAGGACAAAGCTCAATCCTCAAAGCAGCCAATCTTGGAACAAGATGCTCAACAGCTAGAGCATGTTCTTGCTGGGCATCAGACAACTCAAGATCTATAAACGAGTTATCGAATGAAAAAAAATTAGTTAGTCTAAAATTGATGTCAGTCTGCTGATAAATACATCTACACATGAAAGAGTGAGGTAACTAATAAGATTAGCGGGAAGTATAATTGCTGTAAAAAAGAATAAAAGAAGCTCAAGATGTTCGGTCAGAAGCACATCTGTGATCGCTCAAAATTTCGATTAACTTACTAAGAATATTGACATAATACCATGCTGCGCGTTACCATGCTGCGCGTCGAAGATTTGTATCCAGGAAAATAGAAATATTCAATTTGTGCAATGGAGAAACTATCAGATAGAAAGCGAGAGCTACCGTCAGAATCGTCATCATAAGGAAGAGGAAAGTCCAACCAGGTCTCAGGATGCAGGACGATATTCCTCACAAATATCAGGACCTCCTCTGTTACACCAACCGCACTTCCCACATCATAATTCTCCAAAGAATCCTCCGATCCAAACTGAAGGAAATTGGAAGCAATCTTGGTGATCTCCGATACGGTCTTGGTGTTCGACAGCTTCGAGATCCCGGTCTTAAACTTCCCGCTGAATTCCGCGAAATCACTGCGAATTCCGGCAATTAGATCTTCTTCAGACAATCTAGGGTCAGATGGATTGTCGGCTGTTGACGTATCAATCGGTTCGTTAGGATTTGGATGAGAGATGTGAGAGTCAGACGCAGAATGTTCAGGCGGAGGGGCGAGGAAAGAGGCGACACCCCAGAATTGGCGGGTTAGGGTATTTTTCAGCTCGGACAAATCCTCTTTGACGCCTCTGGCAGTGGGAGTTGAAGATGACGACGACGACGGCGAAGGAGAATCTGTCTGATGGTACTGGTTAGACACGGAATCGGATTTGAGCGGTGATTTAAGGTTGCCACCGGCATTCTCTTCGTCTTCTTCATCATCATCTTCGAGCTTCAATGAATTTGCAATGGATCTGGCCAGCCAGGACATGGTGTATCCCAATGCAGAAGCTGAAGGCTCCGGAGTGAAGACGATCGTAGCTTGCAGAGTGGGAAGTGAAGGAGTTTCCTCAATCGGAGATTACTTCTAGTTCTGGGTGTTCAGTTTCTTCATTCGTCCAAACCGACCCATTTTGTCATTTAACTAGCAAAGTAGACTTAACAAAACCAGAGCCTGGGCCTAAACATGGCCCTAATTGGGCTTTGCAATTTGAAAGCCTCTCTTTCCAACCCAAATCAATAACCTCTCTTATGGGCCTAAAAATGGGCCTAGTTGGGCTTTGCAATTTGAGGGCCTCTCTTTTCAACCCAAATCATTAATCTCCTTTATGGGCCTGAACATGGGCCTCATTGGGCTTTGCAATTTGAGGGCCTCTCTTTCCAACCCAAATCAAACGGCAAATTCTTCCTTCTGCAGTCTATTTCACTCTATCTTCATTTAACTATATCTTCATTTTTATGTTACGTATTTTTATCGAGTTTTTCATATGCAAACTAAATCTTTTCCTTTCTATATTTGAAATAAACCCTAAGTTTCGGTATATAATTTTCATATGCAAACGTGTCAATTTTAAAGAAAATTTGTAGATTAAGATATGAGTTATTAGTGTAAAATTGTCGACGATTAATACCATACAAACTCCTGTAAATGAAGACTACGTGAGATTAGATTATATCGAAACCCCATCCAAAATTCAAGATCCAAATTACTAGCCTGGAAGAGATGATAGGCTAAAATACAATGCATATCTATTATTTAAATTGTTGATATACTCAAGATTAGCTTGAGTGTCAAAGTATATGTATTTTAGTTCATATTGCAAGCTTGAATTCGATTTGGTTATTAAATGTAAATTCAAAACCAACCTGCACAACCTACCCACGATCTCCACATGTTTGTTCTTTTGGTTACATTACCAAGTCTGGGACTTTAATCACATAAAAACAAACTAAAAAATATCATCAATAAATCTAAATTGCATCCAAAAGGGCAAGACTTTCGGGGCTCAAAGCAGGGAAAGAGCACCAATTTTTGTTGAAGGGCGACAAGTTGAGCTCGAGAAAGCTCCCACCGTCCACCGCCTCGTCCAGCCTCACAGGCAAAGGCTGAAGCGTGGAGGCTTCCACGACGGCAACGTTCGAGACTGGACAGCGGGCAATATCAAGCGGTGGTGGCGCCATCTTTTGGAGGCGTGGAGATCGAAGCTCAGCCAAACCGGTGAGTTTCTGAACCAAATTCCGGAAGTTAAGTGGGTCCACTTTGTACACCCTCGGCCGAGTCGGTGGCAGTGGCGCAATCGCCGGCTTCTTCCATGGCTTCGCCATCGACTTTCGAACACAGTGAAGATTATTATTGGAATAACTCGAAAATTCCCTCCTCACGTCCTCAGATTGGTCCCTTTTCTGAGCCAAAAAGCTCGAGGAGGAAGAGGAAGATGAGGAAGTATAAGCACAAAATGCCTCCATACCCATTCCAAAACTATTAACAATCACTTTTTATCAAAATTCAACCGAGATAATGAGCAAACAGAGACAAAAAAAATGGCATTTATATAAACATTTTGGAACGCCCCAAAAACAGGGGCAGTTGAGTAACGAAACAGACTCGGAGATTCAAAGATCTCGCCTTTTTTTTTCAAATTGTCATCCAACGTAGGCGGGGGGTATGGGCACAAAAAAACACACATTAAAAAAAAAAAAAAAAAAAAAAAAAAAAAAAAAAAAAAAAAAAAAAAAAA